TGAAAGATAAGAATTCGGTTTTTGGTTTCACTACTAGAGACGGATCAAGGAGAATACTAGGCAGCAGCACAGGCGGCAACACTGGCGCTGCTATGTTGGAGAGAAAAAGACGGGGAAAAGAAGAGAGTTTCAAAAACAGATCTAAAAAAGAAAAGCAAGTATGGTAATATGATGTCAGAATCATTTTATACTTATGAAAAAAATAATGGTTGAATGGAAAAAAAATCATGGTGGAATACTGGAATGGTCGAGAATGGAAAGGGAAAATGGGACTAGTGATTAGACTGATTTTGGAAGGGAAAAGGATCTGCGGATCTGGGGTAATGAGAAGCTTAAAAATTGAGTTGAAGGGTGAGGCGCGCAGCAGAAAGGGTGAGCACCATTAGGGTTTGCCGGTTTGGAATGGTTGAGAAGTGAGAATGGAGAAGGAAAAGAAAATGTCAAAATAAGAAATTAGATCTTTAGCCTTAGCTAGGTGATAGGTCTAATAGTGATTAAACTAAACTGATTTTGGAGGGGGAGGAGGGAAAGGATTTGATTTGGAGTGCTGAGTGGACTAGACAATGGAGGGAAGGGAAGCTTTAAAATTGAGTTGAGGAGGGCAAAGGCGTAGAAAGGATGGCAGAAAGGGCGGGCTGCATTAGGGTTTCTGACTTTTTGCTACAGCCGCTTGCTCCTTTTGTTCTTTTAAGTTTTGCGTTTGGCTTTTTTTGGGTCTTTGGGCGTGGGCCTCCAATTCGGTTTTCAGGAGGCCCATTTCGATTTTTGGTTTTTGAAAGGCTCAACCGAACCCAAAAACCGATAGCACCGAACCAAATTCATTTTTTCGGGTCGATTTTCGAGTAATCATTCAGTTCCCCAACCGAACGCCCATGCCTACCCACACACATGTGGGACTCTCTTGTCTACGAGGCTTTGATTGACGGTGATAACACCACGATCGTGTTTGTGAAGGGACTCAATCTACGGCCAGCAAAAGTCTACAATGCTTCAATATTCGAGTGCGTCTACGGCTGGGATTTTAGGAAATCGCAGCTCTTGATCAGATCGCAGGCAATATCAGCAGCCTAGGAGATCTTACGGTGCAAAACCCCTCTCAGTGTACTGAACAGTCAACAGAAGGTCAACGGTTCCATCAAGGTCTCTGTTAGAGTCAAGGGCAGGGGAGTCCTGCACTCTGCAGCCCGGCTGGGTCGTCCCAGAGGTCCGAATCGTAACCCGGTCACCCAAAAACCACATGAAATGTGCATATGTACCATGGTATATAACCAAGCTAGGTTTTTGAAGGAATGGGTCATGTACCATGCTCGGATTGGGGTGCAACGTTGGTACATTTACGACAACAACAGTGATGACGACATTGACAGCCTAATCGAGTCGTTATTAGATGCTAATTACAACATCTCTAGGCGTGCATGGCCATGGTTTAAGGCACAAGAGGCGGGATTTGCGCATTGTGCCTTGAGAGCTAGGGATTCTTGTGATTGGGTCGGGTTCATCGATGCAGATGAATTCTTCTACTTGAAATCGGGGTTAATGTTCCACGACGTGCTAGAGGATGTAAGTTTAAGGTCCACTAGTGTCAATTCCCGTACCAAATTGAGTAAGTATGGGAATATTGGTGAAATTCGTGTTTCGTGCTATAGTTTTGGACCATCGGGGCTAAAACATGTACCGGAACAGGGGATGACAGTTGGGTACACATGCCGTATTTTAGCACCTGAAAGGCACAAGAGTATAATTAGGCCAGAGGCGTTGAACTCTAGCTTGATCAATGTGGTGCACCATTTTCACCTAAGGGATGGATTTAGGTTCATGAACATGTACAAAGGTGTGATGGTAGTGAACCACTACAAGTACCAAGTGTGGGAAGTGTTCAAGCAGAAGTTTCATAGAAGAGTGGCAACTTATGTGGCGGATTGGCAAGATGAAAAAAATGTACGGTCCAAGGATCGAGCACCAGG